AGCTTTTTATATATTCTTTTAATAAATGGAACACATTATTGATTTTGATGCTCAAATTGTTCATATTTAGCTGTTGTCCCCTTCCCCCAGGCCTGGCAACCACTAAGCTACTTTCTTTCTCTATGGATTTGCCTATTCTGGAGGCTTCATGTAAGTGAAATCATATAGTATGTTGCCTTCGTGTGACTTCTTTCATTTAGCGTAATGTTTTCAAGATTCATCTATATTTGTAGCACGTATTAGTACTTTATTCCTTTTTATGGCTGAATAATATTTAATTATATGGATATGCCACATTTTACTTATCCATTTGCAAGTCGTATAACTAATGCTGCTATGAACATTTGTGGACAGTTTTTTGCACAGAGATATGTTTTAAGTAAGCTATTTGACTTAATTCTGTCCTCTGTGCGTCTCCTCATTGCAGAGTTGTGCCTCTCATGAGCAGCAACAAGGTAAAGAGAAAAGCAGAACAGTTTAGAAGACCCACTTCTCGTTCACAGGGAGACTCACAGACTGTCTCTGTCATATTCCTATCTGCCACAAGAATAATAATTTTAATGGTGATTTTAAATTATTATAAGAGCCCCTTCATGCCTCTACTAAAGAATTAATTACCTTTTTTAGTCTGGCAAACAGACCCTACAACTGTAACTGTCAGATGTTTTATCAATAATGAGAATATAAATTTGATTAGAATTCAGATCTTCTATTTTAATACCTGGATTTGGATAACTAACCTATGCTGCTTCTTAGCTTAAGTATTTTTCTGTGAAATATAGTTTCTGTAACACCTTATTTGGACCTTGACATTTTCATTTTAGAAGAAAAGATTAATAGAATAAACAGTTAACTTCTTTTCCTCTGGAAGGGTGTGTATACCTGGATTCATAGATACGCGTTGATAGCTAACAAAGTTTATTTCAGCACGTTTCTTCCTCCTTCCTTCCTTTCCTTTCTTTTTCCTTCCTTCCTTCGAGTCATCTTACTATTTATGTCATTGGGACCAGGGGATTTCAGTTTTCTGCACATGCACCCGGCATGGTTCAAAAGGGAAAACATTTGGGTATGAAGCACCTTTCGTGTCAGTAGAACGTGAAGGACTCACTCCTTTTGCTTTTTGGTCGTACCTTGAAAAGAGCATCGTATGGGAGCTCCCTGAGAGCAGAGCGTCATTCATGTGATCCGTGTAACATCCAGTGCTCTGCGAGCTGTCAGGCGTGCAGTGCTCAGCATCACGACTGTGCGGGGAAGAGACTTCACACCACGTCTCCAAATACTAGACCTAAAAGCACTAAACTCTGGTTACCTTCACGCCTTTTAGAAATAGAGAAGTGGGTTCTTAGAACTATTTCCGCGTTCACTGACGTGGACATCATAAGCAACCCTTGGTCTTCCCTGTTGAGTGTGATCGGCTCCTTCAGGTGGGCAGACACACTCGTTCCTAAGAAGTACGTGAAACATACTCTGCCTTGAAAATGGGTTCGTGTGTATTTTATTAGGAGTTCTTTTTAAGTTTTTAAACTTACACCAGATATCAGATATTAAAGATTTAAACTAAGTGTCTTATGTTCTAAGAAAATAAGCCGAGTATACTTTTGCCCACATTCCTATTAAAGTCAACGTGGAAAGGTTTCTTAACTGAGTGGATGACGTGACACAGACGTTTTCCTCGCTCTCTGCGTAGGCCTCTGTCTCTTCCTCTGTGCTTCGCGCTCCCTCGAGAGCTGCATCGCCGAAGCCCGTCTATTTGTCATGCGGTACCACAGGACGTAGGAAAAATTACCTTACATATTTTCAAGATTGTCTTAGTCCGTTTGGGCTGCTGTAACAAAATGTCTTAGACTGGGTAATTTATAAACGACGGAAATTTATTGCTCACTGTTTTGGAAACTGGAAGTCCAACATCAAGGCCCCAGCAGATTCGGTGTCTGGTGAGGGCTTGCTCTCAGCTTCGTAGGTTGCGCCTTCTTGTTGTAGCCTTGCACGGCAGAAGGGCAGACGGCCCCTCAGGCCTCTTTTATAGGGGTATTAATACCATTCTTGAGGGCCCCTCATGACCTGGTCATCTACCTAAGGCCCCACCTCATAATACCACCACGCTGGGAGTTAGGTTTCAACATGTGAGTTTTGGTGAGACACAAACACTCAGGATAGGGGGTGGAGTAGAAAAAAGAAAAAAAAAAAAGCCACTCAGAACATGGCAAAGGTCACTGGGGTTCATCCCAGAAAAGAGAAATTAGATACCATGGATAATTTATTGATAAGTGTTTTCTTTGCTATCATTATAGACTGGAGGGAAGAGCTGGCTCAAAAATGTGTGTATATTATTGGGTGAAAATATAAATGTCAACAATACGGGACTCAGTAAACATCTGTTCAGTTGAGCTCTATGCAGCCTATTCAAATTAGATTTTAGGCCAGGCACGGGAGCACACGCCTGTAATCCTAGCACTCTGGGAGGCCGAGGCAGGAGGACTGCTTGAGGTCAGGAGTTCGAAACCAGCCTGAGCAAAGGCGAGACCCTGTCTCTACCAAAAATAGAAAGAAATTAGCCAAACAGCTAAAAACAGAAAAGATTAGCTGGGCATGGTGGCACGTGCCTGTAGTCCCAGCTACCCAGGACGCACTCTAGCCAAATAGATAGATAGATAGATAGGCAGACAGACAGACAGAAATGAATAAATACGTAAATATATAAATAAATAAATTTAAAATACTATTAAATGACATGAAAAAAATGGTCATTGTGATGATGATGATAGCCAAAAATCTAAAATTTATTGGATGTTGATTTCAGGCGAGGAACTATTCTAAGTGCCTTCCATGTATTAAGGGGTTAATCCTCACAGCAGCCTGATGGGGGAGAAACTTGTTATCCCCATTTTAAAGGTGAGGAAACTGAGGCTCAGAACATTTAAGTAGCTTGCCCAAAGTTAGATAGTAAGTGAGAGGCAGGGCTAGAATTCAGGCCCAGGCAGTTTGGCTCTAAAGCCCTTGCTTAGATGTCATTGCATATCTCTGTAAAGTTTTTTTTTTCTCCCTCCCCCTGCCCCCATATAGAGTCTTGCTCTGTCGTCCCGGGCTGGAGTACAGTGGTGTCATCATAGCTCACTGCAACCTTCAACTCCTTGGGTTCAAGTGATCCTACTGCCTCAGCCTCTGAAGTAGCTGGGATCATAGGCGCACAGCACCACGTCCAGCTAATTTTTTTTATTGTTTCTAGAGACAGGGTCTTGCTGTTGCTCAGGCTGGTCTTGAACTCCTGACCTCAAGCAGTCCTCCCACCTCTGCCTCCCATTTGTGATTTTTTTATGGAACTAGACAAAATGTTTTTAATTCATCTAGGAAAGAAAATGTGCCTAAAGATAACCAATCAAATTTTGAGAGAAATTGGTGGAGAGAAAAGACAGCATGTCCTACTGGATATGAAAATATACTATAAGATATAGTAATTTCTAAAATACCATAGCATGACTGAAATAGAGAAGAAATAGAATAAATCAGAAGAACATGCCACTTTTTATGTTCCCAGGGAGGGGATCGAATGGATACACCTAAATATTAATAGTGATTGTCACTAAAACAGGGATTACGGATGATTTTTCTTTTTTTTTTTTGTACTTTATTCTTCACATTATCTATAGTGAACATCTTAAAATCATACAATTTGAGCAAGTTTATTTTTAATGCTTTAAAACTTCAAGTTTTAATAATATTTTATTAGTGTGACATATATTGCTGTTTGATTTTATGCCTACTGTACCCTTAATTTTCTGAATTGCTTACTTTGCGGAGTGAATTCTCAAAAAATGTTCAATATATTATTCATTTATTCAGGGCTTAAATTAACCAACCACACAGAGTCACCAGTCCAGTCCTCCTTTCTGGTAAAGATAGAGAAAAGGCAATGGGATAATAATCCTCTTCTGGTTTAGGATTGAGGACAAGGATTTCAGAACCTTATACTTCTTTTCTTTTCTTATTTTCTTTTTTAATTATTATAAGTACATATAGTTGTATATCTTACCTTTTACCTATTTTCACAACCTAAATTGTTTGTTGATAATATAAACACAAGTTATTGAATATTATATGTGTAGCTTCTGTCTAATCACTTTACTGAACTCTGTAATAAATTATCATATTTTTTCAATTGATTCTCTTGAATTTTCTAAATGTATAATCATTTTGTTTACAAATAATAACTTTTTATTCCAATATTTGTTGTCTGTATGTTATATAACATCCACAATAATGGCATAGTTGTTTAAAAGGACCAGTAGACTCATATGATAGTAACACAGGAAGATGGGTCCTATATATCATAAAGTGAAAAAAATAAAGTTACAGAGTCCTATGTGTAGTGTAATCCAGTCTTTATTTAAAAATATAAAAATAAACACAGCATGAAGTGCTTGGTTGGGGCATATTGCCTGTCCCCCCAAAATTCCTGAATCGGTTTACATGCCCGTTTTAGCTGGAACAGGCATCACCAAATGCCGTAGACTTGGTGGCTTAAACTTTCTCATGGTCTGGGAACTGCGAGGCTGGGAAATCCAAGATCAAGGTGCTGGGCAGTTCAGTCCTGCTGAGGGCTCTTCCTGCCTTGCGGAGGCCGCCTTCTTGCTGGGTTATCAAACAGCAGAGAAGTAGAGCTCACACTCTCTCTTTGTCTTGCAAAGCCACAGTCCTACCAGATTAGGGTCCCCCTCTTAGGATCTCATTTAACCTTAATTACCTCCTAAATACCCTATCTCCAGATACAGTGACGTTGGGGGTTGGGGCTTCTACGTATGAATTTTGGAGGGGACACAATTCAGTCTATAGCAGTGTTTAAACTCTTTCCGATATCCTCAGAAATCCCGCGTAATTTATTTTATTGCAGACAGGATTAGTTTTATCCTTTCCTAAGAAATTGTTAAAGTACTTGTTACTTTACAGTGTGTCGTAGAAATGTTATCTGAATTTAACCTTATGAATAACTTTTCCTTAGACACAAAACCGAATGAAGCTAATGGCCGACAACTATGAGGATGACCACTTCAAATCTTCCCATTCCAATCAAACAAATCATAAGCCCTCCCCAGACCAGGTAAGACTGTTCTTAAATGTTTCATTAAAAAAAAAAAAGTGCACTTATATTTTGATGTATTTTTTACAAGCATGTTGCAAATTCTGGGATGTAAGTTAGAAGAACACTGAATAGCTATTAATAAGTCAGTTTGTGAAAACGCCTTCATTCATTTTTTTTAAAATACAGACTCAGTTTCTGTATAGGAAGTTGACGATTCTGAATATTTTAAGAGCAAATACTTGAAATACTTGAGAATGATAAAGAATCCTTGAATTAGGTTGAGAAAAGAAATTAACCTTCTCAGAGATACATGCTAATTTGTAACTATGTGGCCTTTCTTTTTTAAAGAAACAGTGCCTTATTAGAAAAAAAAAAAAACCTTTCTTGCCAGCTCAGTGAGGCACAACTCAGTGTAGAGGTTACTTCTGTTTAATTGCAAATTATTAAACCTGTGCTCATCACCTCTTAAAAGGGAAGATTTAAACTCAGTTTCTTCAGTCCCTTTTCTTGGAGGTCCCTCCAGCTTGTCATTCTCAAGGAAAAGTGTTGCCTTCAACTTCTCGTCAATGCAGGAGAGACACTGATGAGTCTGAAGGGAACCATATTCAAATCCAGTTTTTTGGAAGAAGGGAGCTCTCCCAAGATCTTCAAAGTGATGGATGGGGAGAGTGGTGAACAGATTACCTCCTATCCCATTGCCAAAAATCAGATTTCAACATCTCCATCACACCCAGTCTTAAAATACATAGCTAAGGGGAAAAAATAGGTAATTACATCCGTATGACTGAAAAGTCAAGGAAACTTCCCTGCTAAACATCTCCACTAAATAATAGCTGTGGCATTGTCTAAGGAGCAGCAGCAGAAATAGTGCAGATAAAAGCAGTAGCGATACTCAGATTGCTATTATTTCTGAGATTCAGAAGGTATAGTCCTAGTATGATGATGTTTACTAAGCCAGTTGAGCAAGCCTTGTATTTTAGAGTTGGAAAAAAATATCAGCCTTCAATGTAGGCAAAGTGGAGAGTTGTCTGCCTGGTGTCAGAAGTCTTTCCCCACCAAGTCACTTTGCTTTCTCCACCTGCTTCCCGATACCTGGAATTACACTTATGCCAGTGTCTATTAGGTGCGTGTTAGATCTATTCCTGGAAATAGGATTTGATAATAGATAGAGGGAACTGGATGTCTAGGGTAGGAGGAAGCAAACAGAGGTGGAGAAAAAGGTAAAACATAAAAGCTTCCAACTTGATAATTCTGTCTAGATTCAGCCCTGAGATAGCGATGGCATCTTGGAAAGGCAGGAGGAATAGAAGCATAATGACAAACTACAGTTGTTCCTCCGTATCTGGCGGGGGGAGACTGTTTCTAGAACACTTCTGCCCCATGCAGATACCAAAATCCAAGGATGCTCAAGTCCTTTGTATAAGATGGTGTAGCATTTTCATATAACCTACATGCATCATCCGCTATACCTTAAATCATTTCTAGATTACGTATAATACCTAATACAGTATAAATGCTTCGTTATTTTTTTTTGTTTTTTTCCCTGAATATTTTCAATCCATGGTTGTTTGAATCCACAGATGTGGAACCCATGGATATGGAGGATCAACTATAATTACTAATTTTGATAGTCTAGAAAATTAGAAACTAACATAAAAAGAGTCAAGAAATTCTCTTCTGCTACGTCGTGCCTGTGTGTTTGTTTTAAATACTAACCAACTCTTTTTCATTCCCATGCTGCTCTGGGTGTGGCCCCCTGTCACCCGCCTCCCCAGGACGAGGAGGAGGGGATATGGGCATAGCCAGTCAGAGGCTCTTAGCTCAGCCATTTTGTTCAGAACGGTGAGAAACGCCTTTCCTTAACTACAGACGTGGTCTTCGTTTTTCTTTTTACACAATCACTCTCACATCTCCTTTCTCTATAATTCATGAAATCCTTGGTGTGCTTCTGTATTTTCATTTTCACATGGTTCTTGTGTGTGTTGCTGTGCTTCTGGCTTAATGCGGTTTGGATTTTGTGGCTTTTTTGTTGTGTGTTAATAGTCACTCTTATAATAATTTCTTTTTATATATATTTTGGGAGAACTTCCAGGGCATATAACTAAATTTCTCCAGTTATGATTTTATTACCCTATCTAGGGCGATTTTACAGTGTCCTGGTAAGGCTTATGTAACTTACATCAAACTGGCAGTAGAAAATTGATCAAATACTCTGCCATTTGCCTAGGTTTGAGTTTTTTTTTATGATAATTCATTATAAATACATGGTCTTTAAAAAAAAAACTTACACTCTGAACTGAAACCTCCTTTTGTTTCTATCTATAGAATGTTCGGAATTCTCGGGGTCAGTACCAAGGACATCCCCAGGGCTTTGACAGTGCTGTCAAACCGCCCCCCCCAAATAGGGAGGAGCAAAGACGTAAAGGAACACTGTTTTCCGGAATTCAGTCTGAGAATCTTTTCCCTCTCTTTTCATGGATTGTTGCTGCGTTAAACAGTTGCCAGGACACCGTCTAGATTCTCCTTTGGAGGCCAATTGGCTGGAAAATACAGTCCAGCTGTGTCAGTGTGCCTCTTTGATTTGATGCCCTTGAGGTTTGACTAAGGAAATCCCTTTCTTAGAAAAAGTAATAATTGTGTTGAATAAGTTCACACGTCTTGGTGGCCTTGCTCTCCCTGAATTCACTGCTCGTGCTTATTGGTGATCTCACTCTTTTGGAGTCACTTCTCCCCGAAATGTCTCTGTCTTGGTGTTAAACTGCTTAAAAGGATGAGGACGTATATGTAGACCTCTTACTGTCGAGCACAGCCAGGCAGGATGAAGAGGTAAGTTATGGAAAGGGCCATACGTACTGCACGTGGACACCTTCCGGATGGCTTTGTCCTGAGGGTGCGAATGAAAGTGAAATGCACAGCACCCCAGAAAGCTCTTTGGGTTGAGATGCTGCATGTCAGAGAAAGCTGACGCTGAGACAGTCAGTGTGCCCATTCTGTCTGTGCAGGGTGGGTGTGTCATCAGAAGGCAAGCGGGGGTCATGCGGTGCTCGCCAGTCTCAGCACGGTTCTGCCTCGTCTGCCCTGGCGGAACGTGGGAGCTTCTTGGCTGGCGCAGCAGGGGCACCTCCCCTGCATACGTGAACAGGGTTGCATTTTGGTTGCAAACGCTTTTTCTAGCCAATCCGAAGAAACATGTTAGTGTTCTGGGAAACAGGCCTGTAGGTAACTTCACCACGAAACTAAAAAATGAACAAACTATCACACAGACTTTTTCCTGAAGTCTCCATTTTCTGTTCTCTTCTGCCATAATAAATTTGAACTGCTAGCAAGAGTTCAAATGCTGTTGATTTTGCTCTTTCCGATTACTGTACTATTGAGCTCACTGCACTAAAATATTCACTGCCATCGGTTTAACACCATACAGATGCAATTAGCTGGCCATAACTGAAGTTTCTTTTTTTATTTTCTTTTGTGGTGCCTTCATGGGTTTTGGAACATAACTGGAGTTCCTATGACACGGTGTTTCAAACTTTCTAAAATGTGCTACAAACATCATTGTATCAAGGATTTTACCTAAAGAAATGCATAAGTGACCCCTAAAACACTGCAGAAATTTCGACTGACTATCCAGTTTCCTTGACTTGTTTCCTTGCTAATTCTACAGAGAACAGATCTTCTTAACAAAATTTCAAACTTCTGAAATTGATGATTTACCTTACCAAACTTAAGAACATAATGTTTTGCATCTAAAACATATGATAGGACACCAATATACACTTGCAAAGTAAGAGCCTTCCTGCGTATGATCAGCACTGGGGTGGGAAGAGACGCTGCGAACCAACGGGGCTGGGAGTCAGGCATTCCCAGGAGAGGTGGCAGACGCTGGCTGAGAGTACCGGCGTTAGAGCAGAAAGCCTCTGTCCAAACGCCAGCACACCGCTTACTACCCTGTGACTTTGGACAAGGCGTGTGGTCTCTCTGTACCTGATTTCTTCATCTTTAAGGTGGAGGTGGTGTGAGCATTAGGTGAGTGGGAGCCACACGCACTCCAGCCCGATACCTGGACTCCCCCACCTCCGCCGTGACCTCGGGAGAGTAGCTCACACTCTCTGGACCCCAGTTTCTTTATCTATAAAAGTAGGTTTACTAACAGTGCCTATTTCCTAGGGTCATTAGGTAGATTAATAAGCTAATATATGTAAACTGCTTTGAACAGTGCCTTCCACCAGCAAATACTGTGCATGCTGTTACAGTTTTTGTTTTTCCTGTTGTGATCCTTAACTTAGATCCATCACCAGGAAATAGTTAAATTTTCAATAAATGTTAGTCACTATTATGATCAATATCATCATATCCAGTGCCCTCATTTTATAGGTAAGGATGCAAACAAACGTTTGAAAGTTGTGACTTGCGTTACCCAGGCGTTTCTGTGGTCTGGAGAGAGGGACCAGTAGCTGACAAGAGACAGTCAAGACGTATTGATGGAGACAACTCCCTCTTCACCACAAGTACCATCTGCTGTATCTTGAGGAATTTTTCTTTTCATAAAATTCAAGGTGAATTGAATTTTGTGCAGAAATTCCCTATAGAAAGACATTTAGTCAGTGAGATTTTCTTTGAAAACATTAGCTGTCAAGCCGCCCTCCTAACACACACAGGCTGGAGCAAGGGCCACCTCCACTTGGAAAAAATGACAGTGTCCCTTCTCTCTCCTCTCTGTCTGTACAGAAAATCCACGTGAAATGTAAATCTGCTTTCTCTCTCACATTTCCTTTTGCTCTCTTCAGACATTTGTGTTAGATGTTTTAAGTCCAATAACTAAATAGAATTTGAGCATGATTTGATAATGGTTATAACTACGCAGTAAATCAGTTGAAATAAATTTCTATATTATGTAATGTGTTTAAATTGCATTGCTATCAAATCTTATTAAATGGCTGTCTTAGCTCAGGTTTTCTGTACATTGATTTTGTTACCTGAGACTTTGCTGAATTTGTTTATCAATTCCAGTAGTCTAATGG